TCTGCCATCTTTTCTGGGCATTTATTTTTCCAGTGCCTTTTTTTTATATTGTGCACATTGGTCCCATTCTAACCTTTGTTGATTTCCATGTCCTGGCTCAGTTTGGCTCCTTCTTTGCCCAAGATGGTGTCCCTGCCTCTTGCTAACTTTCAGTCTTCTTCTGGTGAATGCTGCCACCAGACCTGACATTTTTTTGAGCTTCTGATTAGGTTCCTATTTGGGCAACTCATCACTGTTGACATATAATTTGGTGGTCATCTCTAAAACACGGGTCACATTCACGCCAATAAAAATCTCTAGCATCTGTAGTTTCCACCTGATGCCTCCCTGAGCCTGTCCTAGAAAGGCTACATTTATCATGCACTGATTCTCAGTGGCCTCACAACTGAATGGGATGTAAAGCTGGAATGCCTTAACAAGCAGCTCATAAAACTAGCTGGCAATTTCATCAGTTCCCTAGAATATTTCGAGATCTTTTTCACATTTATTGCCTTCTTTCCACACTCCTTTAAGCCTTGTAAGACAGCCTCTCTGTACCTCTGTAATTGCTGTAATTAAGCTTTGTTGTTTGGGTCTCACTGGGGGTCTACCTTAAAGAATTGGTCCTGAGCATATGTTTGAGCATTCATCAAACCTGCTGGGCCATGTTTTCCAAACAGCAGAGGGCTGCTTGAGTCACTCTTCAGCACTCCTTAGTGTTAAACAGCATGAAGAAAAGCTGTTTGCCATCTAGCCAGATTAGAGTGTCTGGAAGATGGATTGGATCAAATCTATAAGGGCCTGAGACATTTCCATGTAGGAAGGAGTATGGTGTTTCCAGTTAAGGTGGTCAGTGGTTGAGAATGGCTGGTAGATAAAGCTCCCTTGTCCTTCTTAGATTTGACTATCCATATCATGATAAATGGGCAGTCTTGTTTTCCTAAGGGTCATCTGTAAGGCCCTCACCTGGCCTGATGCAGCTAGCTTTATCATTGCAGCTCACTTTATCATTTGGGCCTCTCTCATTTCCTTCTGGGGCAGTGGCTCTGATTTTTCCCTCTAGGGTGATGCTTGGGACTCGCTGTTGTCAGATCCTGCTTCCTTGAAGGCTGAGGGTGGTCAATTGAGGTGTAAGGTAGAGGATCTGGTCCTCCTCAGATGCCTCTTGTAGAACCAGCTTTTCATGTACTTTTTGTTATCTTTCCTTTGTCTCTAAGGCTTGGTGCAGTGCTTATTTCTCTTTCCCTTTCATTTTAGGGTCACCTCAGGACACAGTGTTTTGCAATATGCCACCATACAGGGCTGTAGCCATGTGGATCAGGTCTGCACTATATGCAGCCATAAGTCAATGTAAGGAAATTGGTCTGGATGCCCTGACTGTCCTCTGTCCCTAGTTACTACCCAGTGTATATGCCCAATTGTTCTCCTATCTATTATTCCTTCAAATGGCCATCCAATACCAAAGGAGGGCCAATCAACTTCACAGAGTGCTCAAACTCTAGGGCTGTCAGCTTTACTCATTAACCCTCCATGTAGTCTTCTTAAAGGTATTTAATGTACAATCCTTTGGGGTATATTTTGAAGCTTTTTCTCTGATCTCTCAATTGTGGTGCAAATCACTCTTAATCACTTACACTTTAGATGGATTAGGCTGTCTCTTTCATCAGAGTTTTGTTTTGTTTTGTTTTTTGGTACCAGGGATCAAACTCAGGACCTTGTGCTTGCCAGGCAGGTGGTGGAACCATTGAACTAAATCCCTGGGCCTCTCATAGGAGTTTTCAGGTTGTACTTAACAGTTGGAGAATGTGGCCCCATACATTTCATTCTGCTCATTCACACACAATTTTTACCTCCCCACTTTTCAGTTCTCTTTCCTACCCTGGATATAGGTTTTGTCTGAACTTGTTTGGATCAGATTACTCAGTCAGTACACCTCTTGTGAGTTAATCTTGCTGCAGACCACCGTCACACCCTGGGGAGTGATCAAGCTCTCCTTTCATTTTTATGAGATGGGTCCTTCCTCAGAACCCCAAACCTTACAATGATCCTGGAGCTCCTGTGCCAGAATTGCCCTATAGCCCCTCAGGTTCCATTGGATTGAAAGAGAAAGTTACCAGCCTGCAGGACAGCTGATACCCTCTCTGAGTTTAAGTCTCACCCAGTGACACTGGTGGTCTCTGTTTCTCTCACATCTTAGGTTCCCTGAGCCTAGAGGCAAAGTATAGAGCAAGAGTATAGTCTCCAATCCCAGGTGACCCCCCCCCCATGAAATGTTGCAGAATTTAAGAGATTGAAGAGCAATGGGTGAAACAGAAGGATTTTTTAGGTGCACACTGGCTAAGTGTACTCATGTCCAAAGGCCCAGCCCAGAGCAAAGGGAGGTCTCTAGTGTTATAAATGTTGTGGAGGGAGGGAGGTCTATCTAACAGTGCAAACTCTCTCACCTTTAACCACTAGTCAAGGTGAGAGAGTTTTATAACTTTGGATATCTTGGTGACCTGGATCAGGTAAAAACAGGATCTTATGAGAAGAGGAGGATGTGAAACCTTGCTTAGAGGGACAAACTTACTAATTTTATTTGTAATAGAATAATGAACAACAGCCACAGGAAGAGTGAAGTCTAAGGGAATTGCTTACATTGGGGAAACTTTTTTTCTTTCTTTTTCATGTTCTGCTTAAGAAAGACACTCAAGCCATATGTAAACCATAGCCTTCACCATAAATAAAGCTCAGGCCCTTTCTTTCTTTTTCCATTTCTTGCTTCCTATCTTCCTTCTTCATTTCCTCCCTCTTTCTCTTTTCTTTCTTTCTCTCTCTCTCTCTTTCTTTCTTTCCCTTCCTTGGTTTGATCTTCTCTCCTTTCTCTTTGTGCTCTCTCTCTCTCTCTCTCTCGCTCTCTCTCTCTCCCTCTCTCTCTCTTCACTTTTACTTCCTGTGGTCCTGGGGATTTATCCGAGAACATATATACTGAGCTACATCCCCAGTCTTTTAAAAATTCTTTTTGAAGTGAGGTATTGTGAAGTTTCTAACTTGCTCAGGCTAGTCTCACACTTGCAATCCTCTAGCCTCAGCCTCCAGAGGGCTGGAATTATAGGCACACACTGCCCATCACTGGCTAGCAGGCCCATTTCTAAAAGCAGAGGGGTGACCACAGTGACAGGACAGATAGAGATCGAAATGCTGCTAGAAGAGAGAAGGACAAAAACTGGCAATCCTGGTTAATCCAGATAAAGAGGGCTCCAGAGACACGAAGTCTGAGACTCATTTGCTTTTAAAATAGAGCAGTTAGTGCTGTACACAAAACCCAGCAACACAATAGCTAGGCAACATTTCTGGAAGAAATTTATTTCAGGAAAGTTGGCAGTTATAATGTTTTTAGAATGCCTTACTATATCCTATTATTTTCCTTTATTATGAATCTTGATAATATTCAGTACATAAACTTATTCATACCTTCATAGTTATGGGATTACCTAGCACTATTAGAGAAAAGAGACTTGAAATAGAATTAGAAGTGGTATCTGAGAAAAAAAATCCCCGGAGACTTCTCCCTGCATGTTTGAAGTTGCTCAGTCTCTCTTACTGCCCAACTGAATGTACACACATTCTGGGTTCACAGAGCAAATATTTGCTGAACTGGAGATGTGAGAAATATGAGTGCCTCTTCATTGTTCCTTCCTCATTGAGAGCAATATTTACCTCTGGACACATTTGCTCTTACCACAGCTGGCTACTTCAGGGAGGGCATAGTATCTACTAACAGGAAGTGGAGGCTGCTAACTTTGTTCCTTGGGAAATCAGGTCCAAACCTGAGAAGACAAAGAGAACCTCATTTCCACACTCAAGAACACACGAGCATACCTCCAGATTATCTAATGTAACTCCTCTATGAGTTGCATGTCTTGGATTAGAAAATCAAAATTTGATTCCTTTCAACTCATGGTTGGGATATCTAAATCTAACACATTTTACATCATCACACATAAACCAAATTTACAGCTAAACTTGAGAACATCATTTATTTTATTTTATTTACTTGCCTGAAAGTAGAGGGGTTTTGAATTTGGTTTGGACACATTCACATACATCTTAGTTTCCAAAATCATCAGCCACCCAAGCAGAAAAATGCATCTATGAGGTCAAGCAGGTGTGGAGTTCCCCAACCCTCTCACATACTGGTGCTGCCTCACTGGGAAGATGAGAGATGTGATAGGAGTATCAAGTCACCACCATCCATTGGAAAGGTCCTGAAGCCAAGTGCACACATATAAAATGAAACACTTTTGCAAGCTATTGTCCGTCCGAGGTGCACAATTAGAGGAGATGGAAAATGAGGCTTCAAATATCAATTTCTTTCTTTTCTCCTCCTCCTCCTTCTCCTCCTCCTCCTCTTCTTCCTCCATCTATCAGACTCTTTATCTGTTGCCAGTGTCACCATGGCTTCTAGGTGCTCAGGAAAATGGATATGGTGCACATACTCACAGGATTGAGAAAGGCTATCTCTCCTCAACTACCTTTCCAGTATAGGAAGAGATTCATTGTCTGTGACTTCAACAAAGAGAATAGAAATCATGTGCAGGTTGACAAGGCATGAATGTCAGATAAACAGTTTAACACTAGCCATCCTACCCACAGGGGTGCTATACCATCCTGTCTTTCTGACATCACAAGTTGAAGCAAGTGCTTTGCTTCCTCTTCAATACTTTCAATTTTGAGAAAATTGTGGCTTTTCATGCATTTGGGAGACTTCATACAGAAAAACCGTGTTTTTGTCTTGCAAGATGATGGTTCTATATCACAACCAGGACACTAACAGTGATGTAGTCAACTGACATTTGCTGTGATTTACAGATTGATATAACCCTTTGTGAAGGTAGCATATCTGTAACTGTGCCTCAAGACTGACCAGCTATGATGAATAGTCATACATTGATGAACAGTGTGTTTGTTGGGTGAGTAAGGTGCAACAGGCACTGGGAAGCCATTGATTCCTAGACTCTTTTGACTGACAAAAACTCTTCTCACTGACCACAGAGCAGGAATATTTTTGCATTTTGTTTCAGTTTAGGGTTTCCTAAAATTAAGATGACAGAGTGTATACATGGGTAGGTGCCAGCCACTAAGGAGCAAAACACAAACAGAAGGCTTCCAAATTGCAAAATTTGAAAAAAGAACAAAAGAGCCATCAGGTAGTGGGTAAAATAGAAGATTAGGAATGACATGATGGACAGCATGGCCCTGAAGTGGATGCCCCTGCTGGTTTCGGTGGTGCCCACAGCAATGGTTCTCATATGCTGGGTATGTCTCCCCAGGGAGAAAATCAAAAAGAGAACAGCAATGAGGAAGATAACTATTGGTACTGTAAGATGAACTAGAAAAACTGACAATGACATAATGTCTATTCCTTTGGTTTGAGTTGCATTTTTGGAGAAACAGTTGATGAAGACTTTTTGGATGACACTTCTTGTATATTTATTGTGGATTCCAGTACTGACAGATGCATACAGTAGAGACTGCAGGATCATCAATGGCACCAACTTGGATATCCTCATCTTCAGCCAGAAGAACAAGGGGTGTGGGATAGTTGTGATCTTGGTGCAATAGAAAACTCCAAGGGAGGTGGCCAAACAAAGCCCCCAAATATTCACAAACAGGAAAATTGTATAATTGTCAACAATTACCGACTCTTCCATGAAGGAGGAAAGAACCAGATGTGTAAGGAAGATGAGCACCTGCAGACAAATCCTCGAAGTTGCCAGGCAGGAAATAAGCAGATCCAAAGGAGCCATTTGTCTCTGCTTGATCAAGTCCACTATATTCACCACCACAATGAAGCCATTTGCGAAGAGCCCAGTAAGGAATTGTATCACTGCTATAATGAAATGGATAAGAAGTTGAGGTGTTAGCATGTTGGGAAGAGGAAAATCAGTTACTTCTTTAACTGATGTATAGATTTTTTGGACTGTTTCAATTATTCACGCTCTCTGTTTCTCTTCAACTACAGCAGGATCCCTTTGAGGAGCACAATTCCAACCATGAAGTCAGTGATGTAGGAAGGTGACATGCATTTGTTTATATTACTGCTTTCTCCATTTAGTTCTGAGACATTCAAATAAGGAAGAGATACTCTAGCAATAATTTGCTTCTTGTCGAGGGCTTTTGCATTTTCATGGTCTTCTTAGCTTTCAGGGTCACCATAAGCAAATAGTGGAACTGGACACCTTCAGATGTCTGCTGGAAGTCTTCTCAGCTGGAGAACCAGCTAGAGATCCTCAACCTTTATCTCTACCATGAATAATTATTTGTACTACAGGTGTTATTCTACTTTATGTTACCAAGGTAGTCTTCATAAACCACTTTTTAAAAAATTGATCACTTCTGCTCTCCTGATATCCCTCCCCAGCAAGGAAAGACTTTTACATACTACTTCTCTAATGTGCAATGTCTGAGCAATTCAGGTCTTCCTAAAATTTAATATACTTATACAATAATATACAGGGTACAACATAAAGTATCACTAAATGTAAAATCAAGGGAATAAGAGTTATACTTAAGTGTAGACACTGGATCAATACACCAGTGTGAGACAGAATGAGGGCATTCATTGTGGGGAAATATTTAGAATTGTAGTATTCCCTATTTTAATATTTAAACTGTTGCAATAATCATATTTTTAAATGTCATTGTACAGTGTAAGTTCAGAAGCAACTCCTTGGAAGGGAGAAAAGTCCCAGGCTCTTTTTAGAGGGTGGAAAATGCAGGTTCTATGTGGCTGTGAGCAGCAAACAATTTTCAAGCAGCTTTGTGGTTTAAAGCTGACAGCCAGTGGTTTCACACTTGTGTCTGTATAAGCTACCACCCTCCTTACCTTTCCCTTCAATAAGGTAACCTCCCCAATACAAGTTTCTCTGAAAATTCCTCTATAACCCACAAGACCACTAGCAAGAAGCCCAATATGCAATCAATCATGTATCAACCTTCAGGGGATAGAGATGGGACTCCTTCCCCATAAAACAGGACCACTGCCCCCAGATTCAATTGTCTCCCAGCTCTGAGTAACCCCGCTCCTTTCCTAGGGTGGCTTTGTACTGCTTCCTGCAATACCCATAATAAAAGTACTTTTGCTTTGCACTGGTCTTCTCTGACTCCTCTTCCTCTTTCCAAGTTGGAGATAGAGACATGCCAAGTGAGAGTGATTCTGGTAACCTTTCGACCCCAAACGCACTATATATAACAACAAAATCATACAGGCTTAGATTTCTCAGTGGATGTCATCACCTTTAATCACTGAAAACTGCGGAGAACTCCTGGGTTGGTCCCTGGAGGAGTCAGTGTCACACAGGAGAGTGCACAACACTTGGGATGTTTCTCTGAAATGCAAAGCACTGTCCCCACAGGTCCCTCTGCAGGAAGAGCCTGCCTTGTGGCCCAAACTCTGTTCAGAAGCCTTCTCTGGAACCCACACTGCCTGCAGCACAAACTGACCTCCTAGGGCCATGGGTGTGGAGAGCAGGTAGACAGCACAGGACATCTCAGTGCTTCAGAATCTGTGAATTCTAGGCCTGTCTTAACCTGTCTTGCTTGCCAGTCACAGTACTGCACACCAGGAGTACTACAAGAATACAAGTTTATATTGGCTCCTGGTTCTGAGCCAAGGGGAGGGCTGCATCTCCTGCTGCTCTTCTGGGTAGCAGAGGAGATGATGAGTACACATATCTGTCTCCTTGGGTGCCTGTTCCTCTTCTTAGAAAGCCACCAGGATTCAAACTCAGGGCCCTGTCTGATAACCTCATTCTGTTACAGAATTTCAAGAGATAGGAGAGACCAATGGGAATCAGGAGGGTATTGTTTTAGGTGAACACCAGCTCAATGGACTCCTCTCCAAAGGAAGAGTACTGAACAAAGAAAAGTTCCAGCTTTTATACATTTGGTCAAGGAGTGGGTCTTTCTAGTGATGTAGGAAGGACTTTACAGAAACAGGACCAGGACATTTTTATAACTTAGCCTTGAAAGAAAACAGTGTGAGTCATATGAGAATAGGATGTCATAAGCTTTGTTTACAGGACATAGTTGTCAATTTTATCTGAATAAGGAGTTACTGCCACAGCAATGGGGGGGTGTAATTGGATGAGGGGCGGCTGACCAAGGCTGGGAAGAACTTGTTTTGCTTCAAGTTCTGCTTTATTCCCCTCTTTGATGCTTTCTATAACAAGTTTTAATAGAGTGCATCATCTTTATTATCATTATTATTATCAATCTTTTCACCACAAGGATGTGCTCAGTACAAACTACTGAGCAGAGGCTAGTACTTGGTTAAGGCCATCAGTCAAGTGCTGATACATCTTTCTATCAGAGTCTCTATGGCCAACTGAGTGTTTTTTACAAGTAGGGGTAAGAGGTAAGGGAGAATTATAACAAAGAGGATAAGAAACTTATGTTGTGGTAGTGACTCTATATTGATCCTCAAACTTTGGTCATGCACGGATTGGTCAGCTTCTGGAATGACCAGAGCAGGGCTGCTGTTTTCTCAGGCTTCTGCTGGCATGGACTAGTCAGCTTCTGAGGTGACTAGAGCAAGGCTGTCATTCCCAGTGGTGGCATGATCTTGTCATAGGATCAGCTGCTTCAGGTGGTCTGGATTCTGCTGGCTGGACCACTTTTCTTGAGAGGTTGGTTTCTGCAAACTTTGGTAAATCTAAGATACATTTCTGCAATATTAACAGCAGTGGGAGTAGACAGGATTACAATGTGGGGTGCATCCCATACGGGCCCTAGAGCTGTTGGATTTTATTTTTTGACTCCAGAAATGTCCCCAGACTTGAAGGGGTGTATTGGGTCTGTTAGGCTTATGGGTATTTTTTGTACCTAACAATGGATACCTTTCAGAGCTACTCACAAAGTCTTTTTTTTTTCTTCTCAAGGTCAGTTGTTCCTAGTTTACAAAGATTACCTTAGTTTGACCTATGATTTGGGGTGTCAGGCTGAATAAAATTTTATAATGGGAATACCTGGTTTGTTTGGTGTGGATGTACCAGACTCAAAGAAGGACCATGGGCAGGACTTGATCTCATCTAAAGTCCTTGAGTTTATTGACAATATTTTTTCAGCAGTTGTTTGATTATCTGGTTCATGTGTTTTATCTTTTTTTTTTCCTGTGGCCAGTGGACAGTGTGAAGCTTTCATTTTATTTTTAACACTTGCAAAACTCCTGGACTATCTCAGTTATGAATATTGGTCCATTGTCTGACCCTAACATCAGGGGTAGTCAAAATCTTGGGGAGATGTCTCTTAACAGCATCTTGGTCACCTCTTGTGGGTAGGGAAGTCTTCAATCCATCCTAAGAAGGTGCAGACAAGCACCAACATACATTGATAGCCACTGGCTCAAGGCAATTCAGTAAAGTCCATAATCAAGTTTTTACATGGGGCAGCTCTTAGCTGCTGGATACCTGGGGGCTATGGGGCCCATTGCCTTGGGTTGTTTGGGGCACAGGTTAAGCATTGCTCACAAATAGCTTGAGGGATGGTAGTGAGCTGTGGCACACAGAAATGTTGGCCTAGTAGTATCTCCAGAGCTATGAGACCCCTGATGGAATTGTCTTATGAACCTGAGGCCTAATGTTTCAGGGTGGTCAGCTTTCCCTCAGGAAACTTAAATTATCCCTCCTTTATATAATCTTTAGGTTCTCAAGCAAACCCAGCCTTTTCATTTGAAGAATAACTTGGGGTCTCCAGGAGAGGAGGTTCTGGGATGAGGGATATGGCTAGGGCCCCTCTTTCAGGTTGTGGGATTGTCATAGCAGCCTGTTTTGTTTTTATGTCTACCTTTTGGTTCCTTCTGGCTTCCAATATCCCAGTCTGTTGGTGTCCTCTGTAATGTATAACAGCTACTTTTCTTGGAGCCCATATAGCACATTGTAGTTCTATTTTTTCTTTGTACTTTATTTCTTTTTCTCTAGCAGTGAAGATCCTTCTTTCCTAACATTTAGCCCTGTGTACATGTAATGTTTTAAAGGCATATACAGAATCAGTATAGATGTTAGTTTTCTTGTCCTTTGTTAGTAAACAAGCCCTGGTCAAGGTCATTAGTTTTGTCTGCTGGGCTGAGATTCTGGTGGGCAGAGGTTGGGCTTCTACCACAGAGTTTAAAATCATCATTGCATATCCTGTCTTTTGGACTCCTTCCACCATCTGGGTCTCTGAGAGGGTGACCTGTGAGATCTCCCTGGCTTGAGAACAGTTTGTTCCTAATTTTCATATCGTCATGAAGGGAGGCTTCCAGTTGGACTGGGAGCAAGGTAGCTGAATTAAGAGTGTTTATTGTCTCTAGAGTTATACAGGGATTTTTACATAGGAGTCCTTGATACCAGGTCATTCTTGAGTTTGATAACCAATGGTGCCACCTCTGGTCCATCAGGTTTATGACTGAATGTGGTATCACATTGTCAGCTGTCAGCTTCCTTCATCAGCAGGGCAGTGGCAGCTAGTTCCATGAAGCATAGAAGCCATCCTAGGGCCATAGGGTCCAACAAGTTTGACAAATATGCCGCTGGGTAATACTAGGATCCCATTACCTGGGTTGACTCCTATAGCGATTTTTGTTTGTTTGTTTAGAAAGACTTGGTTATATTTGGCATTCCTAGGCTGGGGCCTGAGTCAAAGATTTTTTGATTTATTTAAAGGTTTTATCTTGGTCGGCTTCCCAGAGGAGGGGCTCCTCCCACCTCCCTCTGTTGGCTTCATGTAGGGGCTTAGCCATAAGTGAGAAATTTTGGAAATAGGGATGTCAGAATCCCAATGGTCCTAGAAGCTCTCTTATTTGGGACTGGGTGGTTGGGGCTGGGAGGGTACAGACAGCCTGTATTTGTTCTGTGTTTAGTTGGTGTTCTCCCTGAGTCACTATGAAGCC